GTGGCCGCGACAAAGAACGGCGGCCCCGGCGGCTCCGGGAAGGAGGGCGGGAGACGCCTGCGCCTCCGCCGCGTCTCCACGGAGCGCGGGACGCTGTTCCCTGCCCCGTGGGCGGATGGCCGCCTGCCTGCGGGGACCGGTGCCCGACGCCTCCCCTGCACAGTCAGCCTGGCCCCCGGGAGCACCCGCCCTTGGTAATTGGAAGGGGGCACAGAGGTTTCCCCACCTTGCGCTCTGATGTCCTAAAGAAGTCACCGGGGAACACGGGGGAGAAATCACAGTGAGAAAGTTGGATGTGCTGAGGGTGAAAGGTTTCTAACCCTGTGAGGCTTTAATTCGTCTTGAGTTTCTCTGAGTGTAGCGTGTGAACTGTTTCCCCTCTGCCCCACTAGGGGGGTTTAGCTGCAAGGCCCTAACAGCGGTTCTCAACCTGTGGGTCGCGACCCCTTTGGCGATCGAACGACCCTTTCGCAGGGGTCGCCTTAAGACCATCCTGCATATCAGATATTTACATTACGATTCATAACAGTAGCAACATTACAGTTATGAAGTAGCAACAAAAATAATTTTATGGTTGGGTCACAACATGAGGAACTGTATTTAAAGGTCCAGAAGGTTGAGAACCACTGCGAGAAATGCGGGGGTGTGGTGGGGTGTGCAGGCCCACGAAGGAGACTGCAGTCCTTGAACAAGCAGAGGACTTTAAGGCTCTTGTTGGGGGCAATGCCAGGCTGTGGCCAGAGCCCTCAGCTAGAGTTTGCAGTGGTTTTAACAGTCACCTGAGAAAAGTCAGCTAGGTGATGAGTCGCCTAGAGGAGTTACAACACCCTAAGCACATAGAGCAGTGCTTATTAGCATTAGTCCTGTACACGTGCATGCTGTTGGGTGTTTTAAGATGAGAAGGATGTAATCTGTGTGCACATAGGATTATGTAAAGGCCGAAACTGGCGTGCATACAGTAAAGACTAACAGCGTGGAGAGTTAAGCAGAAAACACTAATAACTTAACACTCAGGTTTGTTCTCAAACTGTGTTACCCGTGTAAGGTCAAGACTAGTGTAGCAAAATGTGATTTGGAAGATGCCATGAGATCAGTGGACTTTTTGACTCTATTTGACTTAAATTACTAAAGTGAATAAGCCTCTAGCCGTCCCGTAAAGAAAAATACATCAGAAATACCATTTCACTCGTGCATTTTAAGAACCGTTCACTGAGAGCACCCACTACGTGCCAGATAGAAAGATGGACAAAGTGTAGCTCTTTGCATTCAACACATTCACAATCCAATAATAATTACTATTAGTTATCAAGAATTATGGGCCAGGCATTGTACTAAGTGCACTAATCACAATATTTCATTTAATCTGTGGTTTCAACAGTGAGTTAGGGGTTATAGCTCCCATTTCCAAAATTAGGCAACTAAGATTCAGAATCATTTCCAAGACCACACAAGTAAATTGCAGAATTTGGTTTCAACCTCAGGACAGTCTGAAATTGAGGCCCACACTCTTACCGCAGCTAGCCCCGTGCAAACAAACACAGCTCACTTCGTGTTGTTCTGGCAGCTAGGACAAAGTGTTCTGTGGGAATTCAGGCAGTGAGGGACACACTCCGCCAGAGGCAGGTGCCACGTTCAAGAGATGTTTGAGCTGAGCCTAAAGGATGGATGGGACTTTGCAAGTACAGGAGGTGAGAACAGTTTTCCAGGCAGAGAGAACCACGTGCAAAGACAGGGACCTCAAAGAACAGTGTGTAGTTGGGCCCCCTGAGTGGTTCTGAGCGGAGTGTAAGTGCTCAAGGAGAGGACAGCTGATGAGGCAGAAACGGGGGAAGTTTTGTCCCCCACATGGTGTGGGAATCCCTGGAAGTGTCCAAGGAGAGAGGTGCTATAATCAGTGTTGTAGGCTCAGCTCTACTGGCAGTCTTGCAGGTAGATTGGAAGGGGACAGGACTGAACACAGGACCACGGTGAAGGGAGCATTTGCGGTATTTTAAGCGAGAGGCAGTGGCATCAGGGAAAGAAGCAAAGGTGTTCAAGGGTAATTCCAATTTCTTGTTCGGCATAAGGTTTCTTTTCCGCGTGGGGAGATATATGGCAAGCAGATAACAGCTAGTGTCGACTTTCTTTCTAGCTGTAGCCTGATCAGTCTTATAGGCTGAAGGCAGGAACCATAAATATCCTAGGATGTTGGGACCAGAAGAGGCATTTTCTTACTAATGACGAAAGTCAGGGCCTGTGAAGTGAAATGAGTTGCCTAAATAACCCAGTGGCAGGCAGAGCTAGCATGGGAGCCCACCACATGTGCATTCAACATTTAAATATTCATTACATGCTTACTGTGTTCCAGCAACAGAGAGATGGGCTGGTGATAGAATGGTAACAAAAGCTGGCTCATTCCCTGCCCGCGCAGAGCTCTGTACGTTCTGGTGGAGGAAGCAGACTTTGATCACATGATCACACAAATATCAGCAGTCAGTGGTCTCAAGTTCTTAGGGGGAATCTAACCTAGTCTAGGGAAGCTTTTTGGAGACAGGGATGCCTGGACTAAATCCAAAGGATGAATAGAATTTAATCAAGAGAAGAGGTGGAGGGACAAGCATTCAAACAGAGGGAACAGCATGTGAAAAGTTCCATTGGTATGAAAGACATGACTGAAGCAGAGCTACATGGAGAGAGTTGTTCCAGGTATTTTTAGGGGCTAAGTAGCTCTAGTTGGACAGGCTACAGGAGTCAGAAAAGCCTCTGACAGGTGCCAGACTACTATGTTAGATAAATTTTATGCCAGACACACTGAGTTGATTTTGGCAATTGTGTTTTATGATAGATTGGTATTATATGTTAATGAAAGAAATTTCTCAAACCCTAGAAGTTTCTGAGTACATGTCTACATCGGCAAACCTTGGATAAATTTTGAGGCTGTGTAAGTTTTTAACTCTGATTTCTGGGAGCTTTAACCAGTACAAAGAAGAAAAGATGACGTGGAAGTAAACACACAGTTATAAACAGTAAGCAATTTACCTGTTGCAAGGATTAATTGTGCAAAGTAATCTATTGTTTACGTTTTTATTGTATGCAATTTTTTCTTCTCTCATTGAGAAAAACATTAGCATAGCTACTGAGTTGTCTTCCTGGGCAAGTGGTGGCTGAGGCAGACTTGTTCTTGTGGTTAAGGACACGGGGAAAGGAGCAGTCTCCTTTCAGAAACATGCCTGTGCTGAACACAGTGACTTGAGATGGGAAAATAGTCAAGCAACAGCCACAAATTTAGGCCCTTAAATTGCGAAGAAAACTGTTTAAAATGAATGGTCAAGGAATGGCAACAACCCAGCCTGGGCAAATTGCGATGACAGCACTCTTAATGCAACTCATGCTTGTCACTCTCACTCGGAATTCTCACATTCCGTGAAAGTCACCTTCCAGCTGCCGGGCCCCTCCATCTCTTCCACGTTCTCTGCCCAGGGTTTGGAAGGAATGGAGTTTTCCATTGCTTCGCCTCACTGTGGCTCACAGGAAGTGATACAAAGATGAAGACCCCCTTTGCTTCATGTCTCTAACCTAGAAATTGATCGAACTCGTGAGGGAAATTTCCTTCCAATCACAACTTGGCACGTGAAGGAAATAGCTCTGGCCTAGGAAAATCAAGCCTTAGCTAAGATGGAATACGGATGAACATGGGCAGTGGACTGGTACCCTATACTGGCATACCTCTATGTGCATTTCAGTTATTGATTATGCATTATGTATCTACACTGGGATAGACCGTTGTCAGACAAAGGTGAAAAGACCAATATACATGCAAAGAGTTATGCAGTGGCTGAATAATGGCATCTAAAGATATTGGTTCCTAATCCCTGAACCCATAAATGCTACCTTCTATGGTTACCTTAGATGTGTTCAGTTGAAGACCTTGAGGTGGCATGACTGTCCTGGATTATCAGGTTGGGCCCTCAATGCAAGCAGAAGAGTCTGTATAAGAGATTGGACAGTCAGACAAGGGGGCAGCAATGTTATCACAGAGGCAAGGTTAGAGCAGTGTTGCTCCAAACCCAGCAATGCAGGGACCACCAGAGACAAGGAACAGATTTTCCCTGAAGAGCCTCTGGAATCAGTGTGGCCCTGCCAACTCCTTGAGTCCAGCCCAGGGATACTGATTTCAGACTTCTAGCTTCCAGCTCCATGAGTGAATACCTTTCTGTTGTTGTAAGCCACCCAGTCTGTGGTAATCTGTCACAGCAGCCACAGGAAACTAATACAAATGATAACCATAAAAGTTTTAATAGGGGAACGAACAAAGTGTGGTAGAAAGGCTTCACAGAAGACCTGATATTTTAGCTCCTTCCAGAAGGAAGATTAAAGATTGACCCTGAGAAAGAGTCTGCCCCCCAAAATGGGTTTAGGAACCTGAAGATGTAAACTCACTGGGATAGGAGAGAACTTGACAATCCAGAGAATTACTTTTCTTTTACTTAATAAGCACCACCAGGTGCACTTTTAAATTATATTCTCACTTTATCCTCCTAACAGCATTTGATAGATGAAGACACTGAATCACCATAGTTGGGTAACTTGTTCAGGTGAATGGTGCGGGGTGGACTCGAAGCCCGCTGTGTAGCTATGCATCCATCCCCTGGACCACTGCACCTTGCTGCCTTCCTATTGGGCCTGAGCGATAGCCCTAGGTGGGGGATCCCTGGTGAGGCTGGAGCAGCAGGAGTGGTACCATGATAAAGGGTCCTGTAAGGCTGTGTGCATAGGGTTAGGGCACAATTGAGCCAGAGAAGGAATTTGGCAGATGTGATCCAGTTGTTGCTTTAGAGAGGTCACATTTCATGGCTGAATGTAGGATAAATTACAGGAGGGTGAGTGCAGGGAGAGAGACATATGGAGTCTAATGCAATAGGCAGTCCAGGGGAGGGATGTGGCTGGTATGAACAAGGGCAGTGACAGTGGTGATGGAGAGGAGGGATATGGATTTGAGAACTTTTCATTAACAGGACTTGGGGATCAAAGTGCATGAAGAGGAAGAAGAAGGGGAACTATGAGCCATGAGAAAATATGGTGACAGCTGACATCACCTCCTTCCAATCCCTCCAATTCATTTCCTCCCACCTTTTATCCTGTGAGTATTCCTCAAACAAGATCTTGTTATTTCTTCCACCTCTATGTTTCCAATTTAACCCCCCTTTATTTCCATTTCTAGGCCCCTCCGCCCTTAAGGCCTCACTTCGGGATTACTGCAATAGCAGTAATATTTTGAGATAGCCAAGGGTCACTCATTGGGCTCTGTGTTTCCTTGTATACCCCTTGCCCTTACCGCCCATTCAGTGGCATTGACTCACGAAGAAATGATATTTATGTGTTAGATTCTGAAACCTTTTCTGAGTGACTGAAGTTCTGAAAGAACTGATACAGTTTTGATGTGTGGTGATATTTTAATATTAAGGGTATGTTATACTGGGAATGTTTGACCTAGCTCCTAGACTTTCTTGTTGGTCTTTGGCGGGGGAGGGGGGGGGAGGTATATTATTGTTATTTTCCTGATCACGGAATCATAGGTGTTGGCTTGCAATGCTGACGAGTGTCCTGTGTTGCTCTGCTGTCTCAGTAGCGAGCAAAGGTGTTCACTTGGACATAAAGAAACCTCTGCTTCAAGCTGAAGAGCAGCAAGAGCATCCCTAACGCATAATTTACAGACCTAACCCAGGCTCGCAGCCGCACTGCAGCATTTTCCTATAGAGGCAGAGTTACCATGGAAGGAGAAACTATTTATATCAGTGGGAGGAATACTGAAGCCCGAGAAAAGTACATACAGAGCTATTTGAGAGTCAGTTTTATCATTTCTTAAACTACCAGCCATATCCTCTTGTATTGAGAGGGGGAAAAGGGAGACAGAGATTAAGAAGCAGAGCTTAAACTGGGTTTGTCCTCAGCATTCAGGAAATATAATAGTTCTAACTAGATACTAAAAATGGAATAAAAAGGCATCAAAAACACAAGGCCCTATTACTGACATTCTTGGTTCTCATCTAGACTTATAAGTTGTTGTTTTTTTAAATCTCTGTAAAGTCTTACTACCTTTTTCCCCATTTAAAAACACACACACACACACACACAAGGAGGTACTAAAATGTAAGAAAGTTTAGAACTTGTGCATATTTCTATTTTGTTGAGAACAGGCTAAGTTTCTTATTTGGGGGAGGCCAGCTTATCTAACAGCTGGAAAGAGGGGATGGACACAGAATTTGATTTTGTTACCAAAGGCTGATGGCTTTGAGCAACTTGCCTGGAGCCAGATTTTTGGTGTTTTATGCTCCCTCTGAAATCCTCTCTGATTTTATGTGAAAGCAGAAGAGTTCCATAAAAAGAAGAGATGGCCCTGACCAGTATGGCTCAGATGTTTGAGCCTCATCCCACACAACAAAAGGTCGCTGGCTCCATTCTGGGTCAGGGCACATGTCCAGGTTGCAGGCTCAATCCCCAGTAGAGGGTGTGCAGGAGGCAGCCAATCAGTGTTTCTCACATAGATGTTTTTTTCTCTCTCCAAGATCAATTAAAATATATTTTAAAATAAAGAAATCTATATATATAAAAGCCTAAGCTACCGTTCAACTGGTAGCTATAATGTGCACTGACCACCAGGGGGCAGACGCTCAATGCAGGAGCTTCTGAGCTGCGGTGACTTGGCAACTGCAGTTCTCAGGAGATGCCCCTGGAACCAGAGAGGAGGGAGCCCGATTCCAGGGTATGTCACCCAAGAACCACCCTCTTGCAATCCGAGACCCCTCGGGGGTTGTCAGAGAGAAGGTTTTGGCCTGATCCCCACAGGCCAGGCCAAGGGACCCCCCATGAATCCGTGCACCGGGCCTCTAGTATATTTATAATTAAGTATGTTTATAAATAAACTAGTGACCCGGTGCACAAATTTGTGCACATTGAAAGAAAATTAATTAGAAGGTAGCTGGTGGGGCGGGACTGGACAAGATAGGCTGGACATACCCTGGAGCCAACCTCCAGTGGTCCCTCCCCGGCTGCAGCTGGGATGGCACCGCAGCTCGAAGGGCATCTGCTGAGTAAATGGGATCCCTCTGGCAGGTGGGGTCCCTCGGCCTGGCCTGCGAGGATGGGGCTGAAACCGGCTCTCCCAACATCCCCCAAGAGGTCCTGGAGTGCGAGAGGGCACTCTGCAAAGTTGCTGTCATACAGGGTGTGGAACACAAATGCAGGTGTGCAATAAACCAGATTCGGGGCCAGCAGTACCCCAGCAACAACATAACCCATGGCTGAAAGTGGAATCGTGCGACCCTGCGAGGAATTGGGCTCCCTCCTCTCTGGTTTCAGGGTGCATCACCCGAGAACCGCCGCTGCCAAGTCACTGCAGCTCAGCAGCTCCTGCATTGAACGTCTGCCTCCTGGTGGTCAGTGTGTGTCATAGCTACTGGTCGGATGGACACTTAGCATATTCGCCTTTTATATATAGAGAATATATAAATATATAAATAATTATACATAAATAAATAAATAAAATAAATCATATTTAAAGCTGCAAAGCCTTAGTCTACCTGTTTTATAGGTTTAATCTTTACATAAAGTTTGAATATATCACTATAGTTTATTTCTTTTCTAAGAGAGAAAGAACATCCAGGAGAGAAAAAGACAACAGCGGTGACTTGAAGAAGAAGCCATTTGAAAGCTGAAAATGGTCAACTGTCAGCACCTAACTGTAAGCTATTATCGCAACACTTAAAAAAGGATATTTGGTTTAGTTGTTTTTTTCCTAATAAAAGTTAAAGATTAGTAACATGAAATGTTTGAATTTTTTTGGGAAATAGTTAAAATTTAAGGTAAATACAATATCTTTTCTTAAGCTAGTAAAGAAAATGTGTTACTTTGCTTGATAACAAATGAATTTATGCAAGATGTTATCTTTAAATACAGCTAACTTCAGACTTAAAACAATTACTTTTTAAATCCTCACCCAATGATATGTTTTTATTGATTTTTAGAGAGAGAAAAAAGGATCAAACCCACAACCTAGGTATGTGCCCTGGCCGGGAATCGAACCTACCATCTTTTTTTGTGCATGGGAGTACGCTCCAACCAACAGAGCCACCCAGCCAAGGGCATGACCTAAACAATTATTTTGAACTATTTTGAAAAGTACACACAGGTCAAAGCTGTGGAGGAGAAGTCAAAGTTAAACTAGACCCATTTTATGTCCTCCAGGAATTTAGAATTTAGAAAAGGAAACATGATATATACTTAGAAAGCTATAAAAATGTACTAGAATGGCCTGGCCAGTGTGGTTCAGTGGTTGAGCATTGACCCATGAACCAAGAGGTCACTGGTTCAATTCCCCATCAGGGCACATGCCCAGGTTTCGGACTTGATGCCCAGTAGGGGGCGTGCAGGAGTCAGGCAATTAATGATATTTCGTTCTATCCCTCTCCCCCAAAATCAATAAAAGCATATTTTTTTTAAAAAATGTATTGGAATGTAAGATTCCTCATGAAGACAAGGTGGCTAGGCTGTTTTGCTCCAGGCAATGCCTGGAGCAAGGTAGGTGTTCAATAAATATTTGTTGGATGAATGGATAACACAAGGCAGAGAATGTTGAGTCATATGAGAATTGTAAAAAAAAAAAGGCCCTGGTCAGTGTGGCTCAGTTGGTTGAGTGTCCTTCCATGCACCAAAAGGTTGCTGGTTTGCAGTCAAGGCACTGGTCGACGTTTCTCTCTCCCTTTCCCTTCCGCTCTCTAAAATCAGTAAAAACATATTAAAAAAATATTTGTAAGTGAAATTGCAATAGAAAGGACAGGTGACTCCAGCATCTTTGAAGTTATATACTTAAAGTTAATTAAGCAGACAGACAGGCCATGAACAGAATCTCTTTTGCATTACGATTGTTTTTCAAATCCATCAATTGCTTTGTCATCCTCTTCAAGTAAGATCCTGAACACATTAGGTAATTGAACACATTACTTGTTACACTGGGCTCCATGAAATGAATGTTAGACTAGATGACAAATATGCAAGGTCTTTTTGGATGGCTGGATGATTATATGGGTAATGATTACGTGAGTAGCCCATCAAAGCTCTGATTCATAGATAGTATTGCCTAGGAGAGAGACCTAACAGGAAGATGTTCAATAAATAATAGCAGGGGTGTTATGCAAACATGACAAAACGTGTGGGGACAATACATTAATGACCGAGGTTTGGGAAATGGGGGAAAAAATATCATTAAGGTCATTTTAGTTTTACTGTTTTATTATTTAAACTGACTTCAACCAAAAACTTGCCTTTACCCACCCTGTATAATGCTAGACCTAGTTCACTTTGAAATCCTTTGGACTGTGTTTTCTCACAACTTTCTGAATAGTTGACTAAATACACATAGTGGCTGTTTGTCTTGGGGTGCTTTCTTACACTGAGCTCTTTACTAGATCTCAGCGACTCTGGTGCCTGCTACAGTTTCACCAGTTGGCAGCAAAACGAGACAAACACGAACAATATATTACTTATATATAGAAAGCTAAGCTGATTAATCTTAAAGGGAATTTTTTTAAAATCTGAAATTAGGACTCTTTCAAGGTTAGAATACTGTTTCTTTTTAAATGATGGAGGCTGTAGGTCGTACTCTTTTTAATGCTCTAGGCATAATAAAAATTGTGACTCCTCTGTGGATCCCACTGTCTTTTACATAAATTAAATTATTTTCTGAAATTTAGACACATGAATGCTAAGAATGGCATTACAATGGCATTACAGAGACTAACTGGAATTATTTCTTAATGCAGATTGTTGAGTCTTTAAATAACCTCATGCTAAATGTTCAAAATCAAGACACCTTGATTTCCTTTAGTTCTTGGTTGTAGACATAAATGCTTGTCCACACCACTTAGTACATCAGACTACTAGGGATCAAGAAGTAGAAGGCTTCATGCAATTAAAGCTATTATTTCTTTAAAGGCATTTAAAAAAATCATTTCTGTTTTTACCACAATTTCATTATTTTTGGAAGAGAGATTAGGCATCTTTGCTAGTGTTATTAACATTACCATTTTAAGCAAGCATTTACTCAGGTACTGTTATTGAATCCTATTTTTTCTTTGATCATAAGTGATTTATTTATGTTACCCAGATTGCTAAGGTAACAAACTATGGAAAAAATTGATAAGTCTGCTGATTTTATTGTTCTATAAGCAATGTAGGAACTTGCTGAAGTTTAGAAAACACCTATTAACCCAGTGATTGACAGTGTGAAGTTTTTGTTATAGATCCTTCTATACCATTATGAACATATAACTATTTTATAACAAAATTATATTATACATGCTGTTTTATAACCGCTTTTTCTACTTAAAAATATGTTGTAAATCTCTTTCCATTAAATTAAATGTGTTTCTACATCATTTTAATGACTTCATATTGTGATATTTTATGATATACTATAATCTGTTTTAGTTCTTTATTGTTAGATACTATTGATGTCTGTTTTTTCTCTTATAATATTGAAATGAGTTTCTTTGTCAAATTAAATCTTTATTTACATTGTTGAATAATTCATTAATATAAACAATAAAAAATAAAGTACAAAGTGAAAATCACATCACATGTAATTGCACCATTCTTCATTTTTCAAATATATAGGGTGGGGCAAAAGTAGGTTTATGGTTGCTCATGTGGAAAATAATACTATAATTAGTAAATAATAATACAAGAATAAACTGTGGTTCACATACAACTGTAAATCTACCTTTGCCCCACCCTGTATATACTTTATGTGACATATCTACACATCTGTTTAGATAGATAGCATACAAAATTTCATGCTGTTTTATCATCTACTTTTTCCCACGACATTGGCATCTTTTAGTATCATTAAACATTGACCTGTATCATCATTTTTCATGGCTCCATGGTCTTCTATTGCACCAGAATATAATTCATTTAACCAACCCCCACTTCAGGACCATTTGAAGTTTTTAATTGGTCTATACAGTGTTCTAATAAACATCTTTTAAATAGTTGTTTAAGTAACTCTAATAAAGAAATTGCTTTTCTTTGGGGGGAATGTTACATGTAGTACTATTTCCTGGAGCTTCACAAGGCGTGTTTATGTATTAAGCACGTATTTACTGAGCATCTACCAACTCTGAGAGATGCTGGGATTAATATATTCAAGGCTCTGGAAATTCTTACAGTAAAGATGAAAGAAATCTCTTAAATTTTTTAAATTTAAGGTTTCCCAACTTGTATTCTATTTTGGTTTTTGGTCATGGAAATCTTTCCCTTTTTGAAATAGAATATCACTTGTATTTCAAATGAGCATCTTTGTATTTCACTTGTCTTACTTGGAGCAGAATTTAGAAAATGCTAATCTAATATCAGTCTTGTTGAAAACTACTAATTAAGTGCCTGTATCTACCTATTACTTTTACAGGAACTCTGAAAAAAAATCTTGGGAATTATTTAGAGGAAAGATATGTTTTAGACATTTCAGAAGAATACATCTTTGATCTAAATTGTCAGATTAACTTCCAGAGTAAGTAGTATTTTGTTATAAATATTTTGGCGGGACACGGGATTTTATTTTGCTTTGTTGGTTTTTTAAAAAATAGTATTCATATCATTAGAACAAAAGGGCACTTGAACATAAGAGGAGAATGTGAGATATAGTTTCCAGCTCTTCAGTGGATTTGTTAGGGGAAAGGAGTGAATTTGCCCGGGGAAATAGAATAGACCGAGGAGGAGAGAATAAAAAAGAAAGATGAGATTATTAAAAGGAATTAAGGATGGAGGTTATGAAGATTATATAGCAACATGTGGAATAATTAAAATAAGACATTTCCTATAAAAAGAAGGATCCTGAGTCCCATTTATAATATGTAAAAACCAGCAAGAAAAAAAAAATTGGGTGGGAGGAGGGAAATCCAATAAAATAATAGTGTTCGGATTTGGGTGCTTCCCCCCCCCAACTCTAATTGTGTTTTTCATTTTTATTTTTAAAATACATAATACAATTGAAAAAGAAATAGTAAAGGATCAGACAAAATTAGGAGAAGAAAGGCTTATGGAGGAGGAGGAAGAGAGAGGTTGAGTTGAACAAAGGCAACACATAGATTAAAGTGAACAAGGGTAGGAGAAAGAACATCCCATTTGTCCTGGAGGAGATCATTAATGGCACAAGTGCTGTGAAGTGGACAAAAGCTCGTCTGTAGTGGGGTCAGATGAGAGAACCGGAGAAGAATAATTTTTTTTTCAGGACCTAGGAGCATAATAATTCACTGAGAGGTTCCCACCAGCCACTGTTACTTTGGTTTGGGTTTTATCATGTAGGGATTTTGCCTATATCACTTTTTTTTTTTCCAGGAGCTGATAAATGAAAACCTGAAAAAAAAAAAAAGAAATCCTGTAAGTTTCTTTGCCCTTATATTTGAACTGAATAATAAAGAAACGGTAAATTCTCTTTCTGAGCTGTGATAGAAATGCTACTGTATAGAAATCTTAATAATATGCTCTGTGTATACCATTTAAAAACAGGAGAACCTGGTCATCCAGGTCATTTCAGGTGCCTTTTTTCCCCCCTCAGTGATTTGTGTATATTTTATCCATAAAAGACAAATTATTATGAAAGGATAGGGAATATAGGTTTAAGAAACTCAAAGAACAAAGTGCACTTTTTGCTGTTTGAATTTCTTAAAATTAAGTTCTTAAGACTCCCGCTGCTCACCTTTAAGCAAGCAACCTTGGAACTACTCCATGAAACTCGGTTAAAGGACGAACCAAAGAGTTTCCATATATGTATATATATATATTTTTAAAGCAGATGGGAGAGGGAACATTTAAGTCTCCCGGTATCCATACTTATTAACTCAATTGAATGCCTGTGGTGGGTCTCACGGGAGCACACAGTAGCAGCCTCTTTGCATTACAACTCAGCCGGAAGCATTTATTCCCTTGTAATTAAGGCCAAGGGTGCCACCAGTGATGCGAATGGAAGCAATTATGTGGATTATTCAGTTCCCTCAACGTGTCTCAAGAGTTTGTGTGTTTGTGGCTTTATGTTTGTGTGAAGTCCTTGTATTATATTTCTCTTGGTTCTCCCTGCTCTGCTGGTCCAACCTCAGGTAAGAACAATAGCAAACACTCCTGTGGCGCTTCCTCCATGCCAGACATTGTGCTAGGGGCTTTAGATGCATTATCTTAGTCCATCTTTTCAAAACTTTGTGGGGGTAAAATGTGAATTCAGAGGTCCCCAGAAGCAGATACTGAAATGAGGTTCGTATACAAGGGTTTTGTCCCTGAGGTGGCTCTAGGAGAGACCAGTATGGAGTGGGGGAAGCAGGCCAGGGATAGGGAGTTGAGCCAAGCAAGGGAGCATCTCAGGCCAAATCCTCCAATCTGCCCCACAGGGCAACTCTGGGCCATGGGCTAGGAAAGGGAGCTTGACTTCCATCCAGGAGTATAGTCATTGATTAACAACCAATAGGGGTAGCAAAGTATATTGGGGTGTGTGTGGGGGTGGGGGGTAGGAAACTATGAAAGAGGAGTAGGGGGTGCTTACTGAAGAAGGTGGGACAGAAACACCTGCATTTTCTGCTGCTTGTAGGTACAATTATCTCCACATGACAGTTGAGGCCAACGAGTCTTGCCCAAGAACTCAGGGCTCATAAGTGTAACGCAAACCATTTCAACTTGATTTGGTTTCTAAAAATGCCAAGAGTAGTCTGAGGACCGATCCATTAATTATTTGTTAAACTAAGCCTCAGCTACCCAAGTCCCCAAGGTAAGCTCACAGAACGGACTAAAACATTGGACAGTTGGTGTGCTTTGTAGAATGTACCATTCCCAAACCATCTAACCAACAGAAATTGCCCAGTTCTCATAGAACTATGTAAAAAGAAATTCCATGAGTCTTTCTTAACAAGTTGTATTCATACAGATCCCATGTTCACATGATGATAATGTCAGTTTAAAATGCTGACCTGGTTTTCTACATATCATCGTCCTCTTAATCTCCTGTTTTTCAAATAGAGTTTATTTTCCTCACCAGGTCACTAACATGATTTTCTTGGTTTGGATTTGGTATAGCATTGTCTGTTTTCTGAAACAACTTAAAAATTCTTTTTGAAAACTTTAAAGGGGTTCATTTTATTTTTTTTCTAAATGAATTCTCTTTATTTTTCTGTTTTAAAACTGGTAGTGCAAACACTTCTTGGCTATCCCTTTCCACCGAGTAAAAAGAGGCAATGTCTGTGCGTAGTGGTGGGTGACCAGTGACGTGATCTGTGTTAAGAATGGCTGTGCTAGAGCAGGTGACAGGAGGGAAACAACTGGTCACCCCACCTGCGTCAAGGAATCCACTAGAACGTTGCTGGTCCAAAGGTGACGCAAAGGTAGAGAAAGGGCCTGGACAGAGTGAGAGCACTTACAGGGGAAGGCGTGAGGATGGGGGAGCTGCACAGCCGTCTTCTGTCAGTTGTGGATAAAGGGGAAAATGCTCTTTTTGTTTTTAGATACCTGGTGAGGGTGATGCTCAGTAGGTGCGTTGAATCCTAGTCTCTGCTGTGCCATCGGGACCGTCGAGGCTGGGAGATGGAGGGAAAGGCTGGAGTGCTTGCAGAAGATTCTGTGATTCTAGATAATAAAAGGTAACACTTCTGTGATGCTTATTAAATGTAAGGGACTGTTCTACAAATTTAACATGTGAACTCCTTAAATTCTCCAAAGAGCCCTATGAGGTGGGTGCTTATATTATCTCCATCTTACAGAAGAGGACACTTGAGGCACAGAGAGATGACATACCAGTAGCTTGTTCACCATCACACAGCTGGGTAGTTGTAGAGCTGGGATTCAAGTCCGGGTTCTCTGCTTTCAGATTCCATGCTCCTACCCATTACTCAGTGCCTCCCAGCCAGAATGTAGAGAAGGTGCCCATAGCACTACCAGAAATGATGCATTTATAGTTTAATCGATTTCTGAATGCTTTGCAACTTTTTTTTGAGGCCTCTGTTTCAGTGCCGTGTAATAGCTAAGCTATAGGAGAACACTTGACTTCTGAGAGTTAGAAACGTTTACCAAAAGGCCTTCAAGTGGATACCACGTAGAAAAGTCCACGTACCTGCTGGGCAGCTGCAAGCAGAGGTGGCAGCCGCAGAGCTGCTCCCTTCTGTTGGGAGGAGATGGCGTTCCCTCCCAGGGGGGCTGCCAGGGCAACAGTTTTATCAGTTACATCACAAAGTCATCACAGCACCCAGCTGCTCGCCAAGAATTAAACTGCTGGAACCAGATCTGGCGAGCTTCATGTTACCGTGATGTGGAGAGGGTGTGTGATTACTGTGATATATTTAGTTTTTCAAAACAGTTACATATTATTTTTTCTTACCCCAAAATAATATACCAGTATGTTGATATTACTTGTGGTTGCTTGCTTCATGTCCCCAAGTAAACAATCACACACCTATTTATTCTGAGCAAAGTCAACCTCCTGCCCAGTTTATGGTTGTGTATGAGATGCTAAAGCTTGTTTATGTTAAGGTAGGGATCACTCACACTCCCAAAGGAGCCCAGAGCCGCTAGTGCCTCTGCTGCCCTCTAGAGGCTGTCAGGCAAAGACAGCTCTTCTCTGAACCTCCCTTGTGAAGAGTAGGGAGATGCCCTCCTTACTCTTCCTTTGGAATCTCCAATAAATACCACTTGTCAAAAGCTGATGAGGGAAAAACACCCAGAACTTCCAAAAGCAACAATAGGACTTAATTAAAATTCTAAGTTATTCTGTACTCAGGGAAGGTATAAGGCTTCTGTCCTGTGTTTCCTGCCCCCCAATCTCAGACAGTAGATAGAAATTAGTCAAGGTTGTTTTAAGACTATAAGTAGAGCTAACACAAAGCATCTGCCACATGCCAGGTACTAGCCTAAGTGCTTCCCATATACTAACCTATTTAATCTATATAACAGTCCCGTGAAATGGGTAGTGTGATCATCTCCATCTTACAAATAGGGAAGCTGAGGCAGGAAAATGATTAAATATTTCTCACAGTACGTGAGTGACAGAGCTGGATACGAACTCAGGTATGTCTGGCTGCGTGGACTGGACTTGTGACCACTTTGCATACTGCCTCTTTTATAGATATTAGAGCACGCATCACAAGTCTCACTTTAAGGTAGAGGTTTTGCTAAATAACTTTAACCTGGATCTAGAGGAGACTATTGGCCTGGACACTTTCAATGACATGACAGACAAAAAAGGAGGAAGAGGAGAAGCAGAAGGAGGAGGAGAAGGAGAGAGAAAGAAGGAACTATTGTAGAGATATGGCAACGAAATATGATGCGTGGTCCATAGTTATATCTTAAGTATAGACAACAAAACTGTAAACAACATTATTGGGAAATTTGAATATGGACTATATTGGATAATAACATATTCATGTTAAATTTCTTGAATATGATCCTTTTATTGTGATCTAGGAATATGTCATTGTTCTTAAGTGATACTTGATGAAGTATTTATGGGTGAAATGTCATGATATCAGCAATATAGTATCAAAAAGTTCAGAAAAAAAACAAAACATATACATGAGAAAGGAAGGAAGTTTAGCAAAATGTTAAAAATTGGCAATACAAGGTATAGGTTATATAAAACCTACATAAAGATTTTGCAGGTTGGAATTATTAGAGTAAAAATTAGAGGAGAAATAAACTGCATTTCCAAGTTAGAGCCAGCCAAGTATATAGCCAATCTGTTTGCCTAGACTGCCCCAAGTAAGGACAAATGAGAGAAGTGTGCAGGGGCTGGAATCCATAGGCACAATTGGAAATCTGTAGACGTGTTACGTGTGGGTGTATGAGATGTTACAGCTTGTTTATTAATGTTTTCCCATTAGTAATAGATATAACATGCATCAGTTACATTTTCAAAAAATATTTACATTTCCATCCAATGGAAAATAAAGCAAATTGGAAAGCCCCTTATAAAACTAAAACAGATCTAATTTCATTGTTAGGGTTACTCCATTTTTGTCATCAACAAATAAGGCATAGAGAGTGGTCTACCTTTTTATTTATCTCTTCAGGAGATAAATGTTCCAGGCACAGATCAAGGTGTTTAAGATGCACAAGTGAACAAACCAAGATCCCTGAATGCATGGTGCTTATCTTCTGGTGGGAAAGGAGACAATAAACGTGAAAACCAACTAAAGTGCAGATAATGTTAGAAAGCGATCATTGCCAAGGAAAACTTAGAAAAATAGAGCATCATGGCAGGAAGTTGGGACAGGTTGTTGTGGAGAAGAGAGTTTGTGTATTTTAAATAGGATTTCCATAGGTTTTATTCAGATATGATCTCATGACATCTAGAAGGGAAGTGGAAAAGTCCCTAAGGTAAAGGCATGCCCAGTGTGGCTAGAGCCGAGTGATCAAGGGGGAAAGAGTAGAGGATATGAAGTCAGAGAGGACATAGAGGACCAGTTCATAGAGGTAATTATGAAGGTGTTGTTTTTTATGTTGAGTGAAAATAGGAAGCCCGTGGATCTGACTTCATATTTAAAAGGATCAATCTTTTACTAGTAGGCAGTCAAAGCTGGGAGCAGAGTCCCCAGTTAGGCTACTGCAATTTTGCAAGCAAGAGATGACAGTGACTCAGCACTGGTCAGTCGAATTGGTGGTGGAAAGACATGATCAGATCCTGGATATGTTTCGATAGTACAGGCAACAAGAAGGATTTACTGATCTATTAGTTGTGTTTGAGAAACAGAGATATGTCAAGGATGACTCAATGTTTCATCCTGAGCAACTGGAAAAATGAAGTTGTCTTTCACTCGGATAGGGAACATTAGGTGAAGCACATTTTGAGGGGGAAGACCAAGAGTTGAGTTTTGGACATGCAGAGTTTGAACTGTCAATTAGACATCCAGATGGAGATGTCATAAAGGTACTTTTGATATAGAAGTTGAGATTGAAGAGAGGTCAGGTCTGGAGATTTAAAACTGGTGATAATTGGTGTACAGATGGTATTTAAAGCTGCGAACCTGGGTAGGATCACCAAGACAGTGAGTGTGGACAGAGAAGAAAAGAACATTAAGAACTGTGCCCTTAGCATTATTGCTTTATGTTTATTATACTTGTTATGGTTCTTATTTTGTTTTGAAAATTATTACGCTACACAAAATAAAAGTTGATAATTATCTAAATTACCGAAGATTATAAAATAAATTTGTAAAGTATATTAATTTTCCTTTAGTTTGAGTTTTCTACCGAAGTCTGCATTATTTAGACACTAAAACAGCTACAATTTAGCTTCTTTATCCTACTGTTATTTAATCAATAATTTGTTAATCTTTAGGAGAGTAAAGTTCAAAAATGCTTTTGAGTAATTCTCTAGGTGGAGTAATCCTCATCTGTATTTTCTGAATTTAAGTAAGATGTTTTGTTGGAATATGATCATTCTTTCCTCTTTTCCTCTTGCTTATGATGTGGCAGTTCTCATTTTGGTGGTATAGTAAATGGCTTTTGAAAGTTATACCCACAGATCTACAAATCAAGGAGAGAGAGAGAGGAGAAAATGGTGTCTCTAGGCAAAGATACATAAACATATTTGTTGTTTTACCTAATAAAAACAATTGGTGAAGATAAGGAGTTCACTAAACAGCAAATAAGCCCATGTCATAAATGCATTTTATTTTATTTTTATTTTTTTTAATTTTTAATTTTTTTTATTGCTAAAAGTATTACAAAGGGTATTACATATGTGTCCTTCCCCCCCCCCCATAAATGCATTTTATCAGTAAGATTTGAATGTTAGTGTCAGATCCATTTTAACATTTTTTCACAGTGAAATATATAATTGTGGTAGGCAATCTAGATAATATAGGCTTGTGATGAGATCTGTCAGTAAAGAAAAACCCAACTTAATCCAACTTTAAAAATAAAGGAGTGCATTGATTCATATCATGAAAAATACAGAGGTCGTCAGGCCTCTGGGTTTGTTTATCAAGCATCTAGGGTTGTTTTTCCTGTCTCTCTGCTCTGCCATCCAGTGTGTTGTCTTCAACCCAAAGCTGGCTTTCTTTGCAGGCCCAGAGAGGCTGCCAAAAATGACTGAGCTATTTGCTCTCTTGAAAATGCCCAAGGAAAAAGAATGCCTTCCTCCATTATCTGGCAAGTGATCTGAGCATAGTGCCAATCCTTGAGGCCAGTGGAATGCCATGTGCTGATAGTCTGATGGCCTCAGTCACTTGATCCTGCGACAAAGGGCATGGGACACCCTTGACTTGCTACATCCTTGGAGATGTCATTGAGGTCAGTGCCCTTGGAGGTATATGGCTGCTACATAGCAGGTGTGGAGTGGCATGGTTGTTGGGGAGATGGTTATCACAGGTGATCCAACTCAGTTGACACTCCAATGTATTGTTGAGACTCAACTCCCTAACCTTGACTATATTTCTCCCTGAGGGCCTTTCTTCATTTGGTCGTGACAGAAAATCACCTATATCTGGTTATAAAAATTTTTAAACTGAAACTCAGGAGACATAGATAAGTGAAAAAGCATTTACTTTTCAAAAATTACTATCCAGTATAAAAGTTAATGCTTTGTTGCATCTATAGAGACTGTCTTTTTGACCAGAGCAGATATAGAACAACCTACATAAACATC